TGGGGGTGGTGGGGGGCTCCGCTGCTCAAACAAGTGATGGCTTGGAAACCTTGGATCTGTGGGAATCAGGGAAACAATTAAATGACAACCTCCTCGGGACACAAACACACTTTCGAAACACAAAGCTCTATTTTGAAAAGTAACCTGAAATTTGTAGAAAGCAAAACTGTATATGTTTGAATTTTAAGAGCTACCCTCACGGTTCCGTTTCTTTTGCTTCTGCCATCTCTGCATAAAAGGAATTGATGCTTGAAAGACCAGCACAACTGGTAATTCGCTGGCATTAGGAACACCTTGTAAAAATTCTACTCTAATAAAAATCACTGAAGGATTCCAGAGACTAGAGTTTAAACCACACAAGAACTCATAAAAACTGATGTCGTTCACTGACCAGACATTTCATGTAAATTTTTACATACTTTTGTGTGTGTGTGTGTAAAATGTCTATTATCATACATTATACATATATGCAATTATTTATATATGGTATATACCTATATCTATATATTACACATACACATTTTGTTTGCTATGCTGGATCATTTCAGCTAACCTTCACAGATTTCTTACAGTACATACGTAGTCCAGATGGTTTAAAGGGTTACTAGTTGAAACCAAAGTGAATGGAGAGTGCTAGTTACCTAAAATGTAACAAATTACATCTTTATTGCAACAATCACTAAGATACTAATTTTATTTTGTATTTGTATAAATACACAGGTTGATGGTAGTTACAGATGGAGGCACAAGATTACACCAGGGAAGGAAAAAAATACCAGATTACGGGAATTTTTGGCGTATACTAGTCTCGCCACATCAAACGGGATCTAGCTCTTCTGTTATTATATGATGCACACTTACACTGCATAGCCACTCTACAAAAAGTGGATTTTGTATGTTAATAGAAATGAAAACACTTACCTGCTAGGAAGAAAGGATCTCTTTCCTGAGGAGGTGGAGGAGGGAGTGGTGGTGGCGGTGGTGGTGGCCCTCTCCACTGGTCCTGGATTGGCAGCCTTGGGGCTTGGGAGAAGTTGGTAGGAACTGGTCCAGGCGTATGCTGTTGAAAGTCTGGAGGGCCCTAGTTAATAAGACACAACTGAGATTAAGACTACCATCCAGGAATCTATCTATTCCCTGCTATAACTTTTCTTCTCTTAAAAATACAATTGCTTTATGAATTATCTCCTATCATCTGTACAAATTGGCAGCTCTTACCAAGTCATTCTTTCACAAGAGAAGAGATATTAAACCCAAGTACAGTATCCTGAAATGAATTCACAATGTTTTAATAATCACTAGCACCACA